AGTGGATGTAGACTTGGTTGATAAGTCGAATCACTATAAATTACTGTGTAAATTTCTTTATCCCTATACTCCTTACTTCCTAAACTTTAAAGTGTCATATTTTCGATTGTCAATTTAAGCTTCGTAAATCCTAACATAAATGTATAATTTATGCTTTTTTTTTATTTTAGAGAGTGTTGTTTACAATAGTGTTGTGGTTCTAAGAAAATATAGTAATTGAAGGGTCGTTTAAGGTATGCAGTTGTTATTTTTATCGCGTTAAAGCGTATTAGTAAATTTGCTAAAGGTTCAAAGTAGGGATGGTAGTGGGTCGGGTCGGGTTTTTGGGTCATCCGATCTGACCCGAGAAGAAAGGGACTTTCACTTGTGATTCAACCCGACCCGAATATATGACTTTAAAATCTAACCCAAAATAAAAAAATATTTTTTTATTCAATAAAAACAGTGATTTAATTGGAAAAAAATTATATATAGAGAGATAATATTGTAATTATCCCTAAATATATAGGGTAAAATTATATATAGAGGGATAATGTTGTAATTATCCTTAAATATATAAGATAAAATTATATATTTTTCAGGTCAGATCAAATTTTTTTCATCCTAAACCCGACCCGAACCAAAATTTTTTTTTAAAAAATCCAACCCGATCAGGTCGGGTTGGAACCATCATGTTCGGATTGAGTTGTCATCCTAGTTCAAACTGGCTACATTTGTGAAACCCTTCTTTGAATGGTATTGTTCCCAAATCGAACGGTGTCGTGAGTTGACTTTCTGCGTCTCCGTGCCTTAAATCACTTTTTAAATTGCCTGGTCTAGATCTTAATTGAACGCTTCACTCTTGCCTCAGCTGTACCATTTCAAACGCTAGTTGTGAGATACAGCCAAAAATGATAAATTTTTGTTGTTTCAAACGAGAAATTACGAGATGTTTGTCGTAGTTCTTAATAAAGAATATATAACTCCAATGGCAACAGCAGTGTCGGTAACGGTGAGATCAGTAGCGTAAGCAAGGAGCAGTGGAAAGCTGAAGAAGCTATTGGCGGGAACGCCAAGGCCATTCAAGCCTTGAGAGAACTTATCTTTTCCCCCTTTTTTTACTCTCGTGAATCCAAGAAACTTGGCCTCAAAGTATCAAGCTTTTATCTCTGTTGAACTTTAAAAAAAAAATCGGAAGATTTAGCTTTGGTTTTGAGTTATTGATTTCTGGGATTTCTTTCAATGGCCTCATGGTTTGCTCCTATATGGCCCCCCAGGCACCGGGAAGGTAACTAAGTGCCTTATCATATATCTTTCTTTATCTGTTCTTCATATTTGTAATCAGTTTTTTAACTGATCTTACAGTAACCCTACAAAGAGAGACTCAAACCAAAAGTTTCATAAACAATTACCCTATGCCCGACTTAGCCAAAGCGTCAGCCTCCCAATTTACAACCCTTTTAACTGATCTTACAGTAACCCTATATTCCATTACAACACTGACAATTTCCTTTACCAGTTATGAGAAAACATTAGGACAAGCTTCAGGAGTCTTAATCCATTTGACTGCAACTTCTGAATCCGTCTCTATAATAAGCCGACCAGTTTGAATAGCCCTCAATTCAGATTGTATAGGAGGACCAGGACCCGAAGGACTCGAAAAAGTTCCCAGAATCTTGTTCTCTTCATTTCTCAATATACCACCAATACCACTTCTATTCCAATCACTTGTCTCAGCCCCATCCACATTCAATTTGAAGAAACACTGGGGAGGGGGATTCCACTAGACCTTCGGCAGTTTACTCTTCAAGGATGGATTGCTTGCATCATCCAATTTCGGATCACCAACAAGACAATCCTGAAAAACTGGAAAATTAGGGAATTTCGCCGAAAACCACACAGCCACTCAATATCTCGAAATAAAAAACAATTGTTTCTAATCAATACCTCCGTTCTCGAAAACCACTTGCCTCGACACTTCCATATTGACCACAAGACAGCTCCCGGAATAAAGTTCCAAATTGTAGACTTTGGAACTAGGCTTCCCCAAGATGATAAAAAAACCTGATTTTTTTATGTTTATTAGTTTATTAAGTATTCTCATCCTTCATGTGTTGTGGACTTTATTGCTATATTTATAAATTTAAATGCATCAGGTTTATAAATTGTCACCGTACTAGTTGCTTGATTGGCAATGGCATCCCGTTTCAGAACACTTAGAGTCTTAAAGCTTTGTACTGTTTTTTTCAGCTTTATACGAAGTATGTTCCTTTGGATCCCAGTGTTGACTTACAAGCTGTAGCTGCATCCTGCAATGGTTATGCTGGAGCTGATTTGGAAGCGTTATGTCTCGAGGCAAGCATTGTCTGCAGTTAAAAGGTCTACAGATGCAGGTGAAAATCTAGGTACAGTTAGCTTAACAGTGGAAGACTGGAATCATGCTAAGTCTGTCGTTGGCCCAAGCATAACAAGAGGTGTAACAGTGGATGTTCCAAACGTGTCTTGGGATGATATTGGAGGACTCAAAGATTTGAAGGTGAGCATTTCATGTTTGTTTTATATTGGGAATTTTGGATTTCATTTTACTTGATTTGTGAACAGAAAAAGCTCCAGCAAGCTGTCGAGTGGCCTATAAAACATTCAGCTGCATTTTGAAGGCTTGGGATATCACCTATGCGTGAAGTTCTTCTGCATGGACCTCCTGGATTCTCAAAAACGACTCTTGCTAAAGCTGCCGCTCATGCTGCCCAAGCTTATTTTTTCTCTTTGAGGTTAGGTTATCTTTGTCATATGACATTCTGTAATTTTAAAACATGTATGGAAGGCCTTGAGATTTTGTCAGTGGTTAATTAAGCTTCAACAAAGGATCTTGTTCTAATCTGTAGAGTTAGGTTTTTAATATGTTTGATATGTTTGCATTTTGCCTTTTAGCCTCGCTGCTTCAATCTTGTGCCTGTTTATAGACTTTACAGTTTGCTACTGGTCTATTCATAATTTATGAATCTGTGGTGCAGAGCTATACTCGATGTGTGTCGGAGAGGGTGAATCTTTATTGCGAAATACATTTCGTAGAGCTCGTCTGGCAGCCCCAAGCATAATTTTCTTTGATGAAGCTGATGTTGTTGCTGCTAAACGGTTAGTATGTTGGATTTTACTCAATAGAGTGCTTTGTACCGACTTGGAAGGACACAGGCTCTTGCTGTAAAATCTAGATTTTATCGTATTCGTATTCTAGTTTTTTGTGTGCAGAAACTGCCGCAAAAGTGTCAAATTATGTTTTTCATGTGCTATTTTGGTTATGACAATTAGACTCCTGACGTGATTCTTTTATTCAGTAATGTACTTTGTATGCTAATGAACGTATCAAGTGAACTTGAGATTACACATTCAAGCATGGTGTCTAGAATTATTCTTTTCATTTTGTTTTAAAACGTTCTTGTACTTCAAACCGATTTCTTATGTCTTCTCCCTTAAACGGCAGTGGTGGGAGTTCGAAGAACAGTAGTGCTGTTGGAGAGAGGCTTCTATCCACTTTACCGACTGAAATGGATGGTTTAGAAGAGGCAAACGTAAGTGGTAGTCCTGTAAACTTTATTTTCTGATTGTTAGACGTCTTCTTTGTGTGGTTTTGAGTCGAAACGTTTTCAGGGGATTCTCGTTTTAGCTGCTACAAATCGACCTCAAGCAATTGATCCTGCGCTCATGTGACCTGGAAGATTTGATTTGGTACGTCGCTGTTTTTCGATCCTTGCTAACCATTGGAATATCGGGTTAGATATTAAGAAGTTTCTAGTTATGTCTCAGGCATTAGAAAACACCTAAGCTCAGTAACTTGGCTTCTATAACCATGAAAATGTAGGTGCTCTATGTACCACCACCGGATTTGAAAGCTCGGTACGAGATCCTTAGCGTACATACACGCAACATGAGAATCGGGGATGACGTTGATCTGAGAAGAATAGCAGAAGATACAGAGCTCTTCACAGGAGCCGAATTGGACGGTTTGTGTCGGGAAGTCAGAATAGTGGCTCTGAGGAAAAACATATCTGCTACCACAGTCACCCATGAGCATTTAGAAACAGCGAAGTCCCTAACACCAGCATTAACGAGAGATGCAATTGAATCTTATTCATCATTTCAGAAGAACCAGGGTTTAATGTCATCCCATGCTGCCGCCGCTGCCAAGTCGGAATCTAGTACTCGACGAGAGATATCTATTCATGCAGAACGAGCAAACTCCATATGCAGCAGTGGTTACATAAAAATCAATAGAATGCTGATGACATATCTTTATATAGTTTGTATTCTTTTTTTGTAACATTTGTTTATTTATGAAAACTTTTTATTTTATTTGTTCAAAGTTTTCTCTATCTTTCAATTGAAAATCAGTAGTATGCTGATGATAATTTGAGATTTATTAAAATGTTTTGAACTTAAAAGATCAATTGGAAATCTAAAAGAAAGTTTGAGGATGCATAGAGAAATTAACCTTTAAGAAAGCGAAGGAAACGAATTAGCGAAACTTGCAGTGAACTGACATCTCCGTTTTTAGTAAATAAACTCTAATTTTTTTTAGTATTTAAACTTTTAGTTTTCTTAAAATTATATCTAAAATTTAGTTTTTGTTTCATTTTAGTATATGTTGTTAAAATCTTTAGTTTTTATTTCATTTTAGTATCTGCTGTTAAAATCTTTAGTTTTTATTTCATTTTAGTACTAACGTTAAATTTTAAAAAACTTAAATTTTAAAATTTGAAAATTTAGGTATTAAAATGGATCAAAACTAATAGTTTAAGTACTAAACGCGTTAAATTTTGAACGGTAAGATACAAAAAATGAAATAAAAACTAAACATTACATTAGGTATGATTTTGAAAAATATTGGAAGTTTAGATACAAAAAGGGACTAAAATCGATAGTTTAAGTATTAAATGTATAGTTTACCCTTTAAAATTTAAAATCATTAGTTCCATACATAGAAACGCTCGCATTTCGTTGTCTTTCTTCAGTAAGCTGTTGCTGTCACTCTCAGCTGTTGTTTCCACTCTCTTATATCCAGATCTGATCTCCAAAGGAATTTTCAGGTAATTTCAAAACCCTAGCCCTAGATCTCTCCTTATTCTCCTTCGCGTTTATAAGGTTTCGTGTTGTACTCGGTGAGTTCAACCGTCAGTTTCTTGATATGATTTGATGTTTTTCGCTTTGGCTGCTCATTTTTTATGTTCCTTTGATTTGTTTGAATTTTGTTGTTTTGGCTGTGCAAGAGAAAGTTGAGAGGTTCTGGATTGTGGCGTTTGCTTTCTTCTTATTTGTTTAACTGTGTCGATACTGCTGTAAGCATATTAATGGATCCTTTTTTAGGAGCTGAGTACTGGAAATTCTGTGAAAATATAAGTTACTTGCCTTTATTTTATCTTTAGCGAGTAATTATATTATAAATGTCATACAATAGTGAAATGTGGAATAAAAAGAGGTGACTTATTTTGATTTGACTAAGGAATTTATGATAATCTTTTGGTTTCTTCGATTCACAATTGGAACACGCCTAGATGTTTAGGGTTTTAACTTTTGTGCTGTGATTTGTTGAATGATTTTAGTTTCTTCGTGCATCAAATCGGCTCGGTTTCAAGTAATGTGTGTTAAACTCGAAATCAATTTAAGTTGTAACGGAACAAATGTTTACTGGATCTCACAATGTGTGGTAGTGTTATCCTTAATGGCTGAGAATTGGGGAATTTCTTTTAGCCTAGCTGTATGATATCAATTGATTTATATTCATACCATCTTCATCTGCTCCAATGGCTTATGGCTCCCTACCTTTTTTAAACTCAATGGACTTTAGACTCTTTACTTTGTGCTGTTTGTCTCCTCCCTGTATGTCCTAGTAAGTTAGAAAAGATGGGCCGTGGAGTTAGCAGTGGTGGTGGGCAGAGTTCATTGAGCTATCTGTTTGGGAGCGGAGAAGCTCCGAAACCAGCGGCAAACAACTCCCAAGCCGCTCCGGCCGAAGCACTGGCCATCCCCAAACCTGCCTCTGCTCCTGAATCAGTAGATGTCACCAAGCAAGTTCCTGCTGGTATTAATAACAGTTCTTCCACAAACAATTACATGCGTTCTGATGGTCAGAACTACTGCAATTTCATTACGGTATATATCCCCTAGGCCCTAGTTATGATTGCTTCACAAGTCCTTTAAGATTTTAAGCGTACGGAACGGTTATTTGTCATCGAAATCCTATGCCAATACCTGTTTGTCACGGATGCAGGATCGACCTTCCACCAAGGTTCATTCTGCCCCTGGAGGTGGATCTTCTCTGGACTACCTTTTCGGTGGGGTGCAAGGAGGTAGTAAATGAGATTGTGCCTTGATAATGATTAATATCTTTGACAATGTGAGTATTGTTTGTTGATTTTTGGGGTGAAGCAGTAAGTTGTGGATGATGATGGTGCTGTTTTCGTATAATGTTGGAACATAAATGCACAAAACATCTAATTTGCAGAGCTCCGTTAGTTAATGAAAACATATTGCTATATTTCCCACATATTACGCGTAGTTATATCGATTTTCCTTTCACATATAAAAATACTAGAGTAGGGTTATGAGTTATGTAGAAGTCGGAATTGGTATTAATAGAACACCTCATACAAGTTCTTTTTTTATCACAAAATTGTAGAGGACAAAAATACCTTTTATGTTTTATTATAAATTAAATTGATATTAAAAATTAAGATAAAGTACACTAATAGTCTTTCTACTATAGATTATTGTTTGACTATTAAAATTTATAAAATAGACCTCAGAATATATAATATTTTTTTGTTGAGTCCCTCAGTTATTAGTAGTTATATGATTATCACCAGGATATTCATTATGTTCAGAATTCATATTTTTCTGTTAAAAAATTGATAGTATTCTTAATTGGATGTTAATATATTGACTGCGATATGATAAAATTTAAACTTAAAATCTCAAGCGACTATCATATCTCAGTCTTCATATTAATTTGTAACTTAGATGGTCGTCATTTTTAACAAAAAAAAAACGACGAGATTATAACGTAATTAACAGTTGAATAACCATTTGTAATTTTTAATAATGAAAAGAATTAATAAAATAATATTTTAATATATTATCAAATACTTATAATAATAAAATTAATATTAAATTTAACCGTACATCCTAAATCATTTTTTTAGTTTACCAGATGCATATCTTAATGATATAACAACTAATCATCTTAAACAAGTGGGACTGAGTTGCCTTTGAATCTTTGGCCTCATCATTTGGTCCATGAAAGAGCCATATGCCATTGCCTTTGAGAAATCATTTTCTTTTGTAGGACCGATGAGTACAGTAATCACGTGAATAACAGAGATGGTAAAAGAGAGAAGAGGAAGAGGAAGAGGAAGAGGAAGACCATTCACTTGCGAGAGTGGGCATTGAAAGCTACAGGTGGGCTGGCGATGTTCGGAGGTGGAGCAATGGGGTTTAGCCACCGAAACCAGACAAAACCCACTGTCGTAATCCGTCGTACAACATGATAAATGATCTTACACCTCTGCGAATCAATTATGTTGTTCTTTCATCACCTGTCTCTCTCCTCTCCCACTCCAGCTGTAGGGTTTCAGAGTTACAGTTACCTTTTATATATAATTTTACATTATGCTCTACTTACCATTTTCAACTTAGGTCTGTCCATTTGTTTCATTAAAAATATTTTTTGAAATATATTTTTATAAAATGGATTATGTTTTTCTAAATAGAATCTTTTAAAAATTATTAAAGTAAAAATATAATATTTTAAAGAATATACTATTATATTATTAAAAATATTAATAAATACATTTTAAATATTTTGATAAATAATATTTTAATCAAAATGATATTAAAATGTTATATTAATATTAGATATATAAAATAAAATTATTTTGATTATTTATTTTTTAGAGTGTAAAGTTCGAAAAATAACTTAAAAAAATCAGACTGTAAGTCATTTTCTAAAAAGTGCAAAGGAGATTATGTTGATCATGAAAATATTTTACATTGATCAATTAGTTTTTCTCCAATCAAATACTGAAAAATTAAGAAAATGTTTTGCGAAAAATATTTACGCGAAACAAATAAAACCCTTAATTTCGTTAGTTATACTGATTTATAATAGCAAAACTTTCGAGATAACGTTCTCGAATTTTTTATTTAACAATATAACGTACTCCCAAGATTAATTGTTCAAATAGGGCGAATTGCACAGTGTTGGCCGTAGGTCGCCATGCCTTCCGGACGACCTACGGCGTGGCAGCTTCCCAGCATAGGTCGCCATGCACACCAGGCGACCTTGTAGGTCGCCATGCACGCTGGACGACCTTGTCCTGTGCCTTGCTCCCCGTTGCATGCTCGTCTGCTCCCCACTGCATGCAGGCGACCTCTTCCGACGTGCATGACAACCTCTTCCGACGTGCATGGCACATGCAAAGCTTCATCCTCTCACCACAGCTCGTATAGAACACTTTTATCGTGATTTCATTACTGCATGCATGAGGGAGACAGGGGTGAGGGAGGCAGAGCCACCTTTATCGTGATTTCAGCAGAATCACGGAGGAATTCGAGCCATTTGCATGGCGACCTACAAGGTCGTTTGACTTGCATGGCGACCAATCCATGCACTGTATAATTCACACCATTTGAATAATTATTTATTGGACAACATTATCACGTGAATTATTTTTTTTCACAGCAATATCTCGTGAGTTTTGCCGATTTATAATACCTCTACATTTTGAAGGACTTGAAAGATCATTTTATATTTTTTGGGGGACCAAGGACACTACTTGTCCTTACTGTGTCCGTGAACAATAATCAAAAGAAACTTGATGAAGGGGAAGTATAACAAATTTAATCAATTACCACAATCTACAACTGTTATTAGCTAAAGATGATCAGATATGTCTTGAATATGAGCAAGAATTTTACACCAGTAATGAGCAAAATCGCCCCATTTAGAATATGATAATATACCCACTAAGCACGCCCACGTGAAAAGCCCTAATGCTCTCTCCTGCAAAACCGATAACATTTTGATGACGATCAGATCATCAGCATCATCTTTGGACAGATATCGCACGGCTAGGATTCATCCTCATCGTGTTCAGATCATGACACCACTGTCAAAAAATATTTCTTACGTAATCACAAAACACACGTAGCCCGGGAATAGAAAGAGAGAGAAGAGAAGCCTGGAATCATATAATCACATTTGGAAAATGTCTGAGAGCAAAAGTGCGATTCCCAATTTCCCACTTTTGTTAAAGATTATAGGAATTGTTGTTTTCGGATTTCACATCCCAAAGTGACCCTGAAATATAAGAGTAAAAGTAGATAATTTCAGTTATAAATTATTAAAAATTATAAAATTATCTTTGACTATTTGTATGCTATAAACACTTATTTTTTAAGTAAAATTTGATTGGTGTTTGAGTTAGTGGTTATTTTAATAATTAAGAGATGATAAAATTACATTTTAATAATATTTAATGATATTATCATTACTTTTAAGCATTGGTATGGCAGTATAATATTTCAAGTACTTGTTATATGACATAATATAAACTATTCTCTGGAAGAACGAGAGAACCGTCGACGATGGCATCTCAAACTGCAAGGTCGATAGCTTGGATGAACGACGTCATCATATTCTTCCTACAAGAATAATTTGTTCCGTTGAAGTAGGGTGACCTAGTGATGGAGTGTGAATCCTTAAGATGGTACGCGCGGGATGTGGAAGTCATCTTCTTAAATGAATAAGAATTTGATAGAGAGCTACTAGGATCTTCATAAGATTGTTACACCGTTGATTGTGACTAGCTCTGATATCAATTGTTATGATTTTTTATACTCTATTGATCAATTGAAAATAACCAATAGATGGTGAATTGGTCAAATAAAAATTTAGGGATATAGAGGAATGATGAGAAAATTGAGGCATAAAAATTTAGAGTGGTTTAACTTCTAGACTAAGTTTACATCTAATATCTTAACTCCAAACTAAAGATTTATAACAAATTCACTAATTTATTCTTTCTTCTTATAGGCTAAAAAGTAATATTTACAAATCTCTATCTTTTTAATGGCTAAGATACAACCATTATCTTTTTTATAAAGGACAAAAAATATATAAACAATAAACCTCTCAAATGAATATGTTTTCACAATTAAGCTCAAAACACACTTGAAAAATAAATAAAAGAGTGAAAGGCTTTTCTCTTAATGATCAATGCTTGGATATGTACGTTGTGTAACATTCTTCAAGTGTCCTCAACTTATATTTATATGTCGGAATGAATTTGAGGCCATTTTTAGTCGTTGAGATGTTTTTTAGTCATTGATGATTAATTTTCCACAAAAATAAATTACCTATAATAGGGAGTATCGATACTCGGTTAATGACTATCGATATTGCTTTTAAATAACTAGTCGTTTTCTACCATTCGGAGGATGAGTATTGATATAAGGGTTATGATATCGATACTACTATACACCAGTATCGATACTCCTTTGAGTATCGGTACCATTTTTACTTACTGGAATCTGAACAAATTTGAAAACAATAGACAATATTGGTATTGCCACGAGAATATCGATATTTCTTTAACCTTTGATATCGATATTACAAGAACAATATCGATACTGTTCATACGATATCGATACTATAAGAACAATACCGGTACGCTTACCTAGGAAAGTTGTTTTTTGAATTATTTTTTAAAACTTTGAATAAATTCAATCAAATCCAAAAATATTTTACCCTTAAATATGTTATATCAAAGCATGTTCAACAATAATTTTTAAAACAAAATAATATATTTAAACCAATAATTAAACGTCCAGTGTAATTTATCCTTGAAAATAATAATATATATTTTAATTTTGTGATACAAAATACTATGCGAAATTAAATTTCAAGTAAGGTATGGTGATTGAATTTCAAAAGTATTATAGAGGGACTAAAACAAGAAATTAACCGGGAATTTATTCATATACTTTTTAACCATGGTTAGTTCTTTTACCATGGTTAAATTTTCTGCTTTTTGCTAACTATCCTACGCCTGTCCCGCTTCTCTATTTAAACCCCTTCACTTCAACTCCTCTGTCAATTGCACTACCCCAAGAAAACTTTTCCTTTTTCCCGAGAAAGCTCGAGAAAAACCCTTCGCTCTACACTTGTCAAGATCAGTTTTTGTCGAATACACCATCTCAGAGGAAGTGCAACAAAAATGTCACTCGAACATGGTTTACTGTTGTTTCAACAACCTCTGTTGAGCTTCGAAGCATTTGTCTGGTCTGTTCTATTGGTCGGAGCAGTTGCCTTATGGCTATCCCCAGGAGGGCTTGCATGGGCTCGTTATAGGTCCAAGACGAGCGTTGCGATCCCTGGCCCACTCGGTTTCCCGGTTCTCGGATTACTCACTGTGTTCACCGGCGCCACCCCTCACCGTGTTTTAGCTAAACTCGCTAAAGCTCTTGACGCGCTCAAGTTGATGGCTTTCTCCGTCGGGTTCACTCGGTTTATCGTTTCCAGTGACCCGGAAACCGCGAGGGAGATTCTGAACAACTCAGCTTTTGCCGATAGGCCGGTCAAGGAGTCGGCTTACGAGTTGTTGTTTCATAGAGCAATGGGGTTTGCTCCCTATGGCGAGTATTGGAGGAACTTGAGACGTATCTCAGCCACACATTTGTTCTGTCCAAAGAGAATCGCTGCCCTTGAAAGATCCAGGCGTGAGATCGGTGCTAAAATGGTTGAAGAGATAAACTGTTCGATGAAATCCAAAGGTGAAGTCTTGGTTAAAAGGGTGCTTCATTTTGGTTCATTGAACAATGTGATGGCCACTGTGTTTGGTAAAAGCTATGACTTTGAGAAAACTAACGAAGGGTTTGAGCTTGAGGAGCTTGTGAGTGAAGGGTACGAGTTGCTGGGAACATTCAATTGGAGTGACCATTTTCCTCTCATATACCGGCTTGATTTGCAAGGTGTGAGGAGGAGATGTAGAAATCTGGTCTCAAAAGTTAATGTCTTCGTTGAAAAGATCATAGAAGAACATAGGCTGAAAAGGGTTAATGGAGATGAATGTAGCAAAGATGGAGACTTTGTTGATGTATTGCTTGATTTGGAGAAACATGAGCAACTCAGTGAGTCAGACATGATTGCTGTCTTGTGGGTAAGCTTTTCACTTTCTTCTTTCTCGCAACATTATCTTATTGTTGTTTTGTTTCATGATTTTTATGTCATTTGCAGGAAATGATATTTAGGGGAACTGATACTGTAGCAATTCTGTTAGAATGGATTCTAGCTAGAATGGTTTTACACCCAGAAATCCAGGCCAAAGCTCAAGCAGAGATCGATTTTGTCGTCGGGAACTCGAAGCCGGTTTCGGATACTGACATCCGAAACCTGCCTTATGTTCAAGCCATCGTGAAAGAAACTTTCAGGGTTCATCCACCCGGTCCTCTTCTCTCATGGGCACGTTTAGCCATCCATGATGTTCATATAGGTGACAGTTTCATCCCAGCAGGCACAACAGCGATGGTGAACATGTGGGCAATCACACACAACGAGAAGCTCTGGGCAGAGCCGGAGAAGTTCGAGCCCGAGCGGTTCATGGAAGAAAATGTGAGCATTATGGGACCTGATCTTAGGCTGGCTCCCTTCGGTTCCGGTCGAAGGGTTTGTCCAGGGAAAGCCATGGGGTTAGCCACCGTTCATCTCTGGTTAGCTCAGTTGCTTCAAGCTTTCAAATGGGTTCCTCGTGAGTACAAAGAGGTTGAGTTGGTTGAACAGTTGAAACTCTCCATGGAAATGAAGAGCCCTCTGGTGTGCAAGGCAATGCCTAGGGTTGCTTGAAACTTGAACCCTTGGGGGCTGCATTTAGGAGTTTATGGTTATGTTTTGTATGCTTTTTAAGCTTTTTGATGTGATCTTTAAGTTTATGGTTTTTATATATATAATCTTTTGTCTAGGTCGGGACTGGTCTTTTATGTACTGTGAAAACTATGGACAAAATGATGGAACACTCTCTACATATATTTACTGAATAAAGGTTTATGGTATCTCTCTTCTTATTATAATATTAGATTTATTTTAAAATATTACAATTTAAGTAAAAATGTATTTTAAAAAAAATAATGTGATTTTCGTATTAATTTTACCTTAATGCGACATACTAATTTAGAAAATAAATTTAATGTAATCATTCGATTAATATTTTTTGTTAATCGTTATAGTACTGACGATGGCTTACTGAACTAAATTGATAACTCAAACATGGTAGATGAATTGTCACGTTAACACTATGGATTATCACGTTAGTATGGTGAACTGTCACATCAATACCGTAACGATCAACGACGAAAAACATTGGTGAAAGGGTCGTGTTTGGTGCAAGTCTTTTAGTTGCTGTTGGAGATTTACAAGCTCAGTCTCTGGGTCTCAAATTGCTTTAGGAAACTTCTATATTCAAATACTCTTTATTTAGGGTTTAGTTTTTTAAACGTAGACGTCAACTTATGATTAGAGAAGACATGCATGATCCAATCATATGAACGTGCGGCTTCGTTTCATCACCATAATTATCAACATTATATATATATGGAACCATGTCTTTCCTTTCAGAAAGTGGATCCAATTGATCTTACTGCCGAAAGTTTCAATCATTCCTTACACTATTGCTCCATCATTTCATGAATATCTTCCTAAACCCTAATCTCAAAAAAAAAAAAAACCGGGCACTATGATGGAGCAAGATCCAATTACACTGTATAAAATTCTTTTAATTTTACACATTTTCAGAAACATTGGATGAAAAAAATTAAAGACTGAGATTAATAGTAGAAAATTAGAAGATATTAACTGTAAACATAAAAAAAAGCATAAAATTAATCTCAGCCTTTGATATTTCTCAATCCAATGGTCCTAAAAATGTGTAAAACTAAAAAACATTTACACGGTGTAAGTGAATCCAAAACCTATAAGGGTGCGTTTGGTTCACGGAATGTAAGATTACCAGTGGGAATAAAAGATTACCAAGGAATAAGATTACTGAGAATGTTGTATTTTGTGTTTGGTTGGTTTACCAGGAATGTAAGATTACCGTGTTTGGTTAAAAGATTATTGGAATATATATTCGACCAAACTGTCCTTATTATATATTTGTTTTTTAACAAGTTAGAAAATATTTATATATTTTCTTTAAAAAAATTAAATTTATAAAATTTATAAATTTTTTTTTCAAAATTGAAAATATAAAAAGGTTTAATGAAAGGGTAAAATTTTATTTTAACCCCTGAACTTTATAAAATTTTAATTATAGACTTTTTTGTAAATCTAAAATAGTTTAAAGATAAATTTGTAATTTAACCTTCGTAGAATTTTTATTATTCAATGACAAAGAAATGATGTTTTTTAAAGAAAAAAATTAAGGGCATTTTAGTCTAAAACGCCGGTAATCTAACAATACCTAAGGAAATGAAGGTAATGACATTCCCGGTAATATACCCAAAAAATCTACTATTTGTAATGTAAGATTACCGGGAATGATATTCCCGGCCAACCAAACGGGGGAATGTGGATTCCATTCCCATGGGAATCTCACATTCCCCCAACCAAACACACCCTAAGGATACACCCAAAATAAAAATAATCAAAATATGATTAAACAGAGACACTAATAAGAAATACATATAACATATTATTAGTGAAATAAAAATTCTATAAAACAAATTTAAGGTGATGTCTCCTATTATTTTAGTATTATTTTTTAAGGATATATGACATCATTCTAAACCTAATTATAAAAATATTATTATTCCATTGATGGTGTGTTGAATATTTCTAAATATATCATAATATGTGAGTGATTCCATAATCTAGGTAAAGAGAATGTTGGGATTTATTTTTTATGACATATAATCATCATCCCATACAAAAGTTGCTCAACTTTAGACCATTGGTTGACTGAAATTAGGGTTCAACAAAAGTTGATTTGATTCAATAATTTGTTTTTTTATTTTATTTTAAATTATTCGAGTTGATATTAATGAGTGGATCAATTTTTAAGTTTAAATTTTTATCGATTTTAAAAATAAAAAATCGAGCCTCTTATTTATTTTTTGTTTAATTTATCTTTCGTTTTAGATCTATTTTTATCAAATTTGAACCGCGTACTCATAAATATGGGCAAAATTAGAAATTTATTAGAGCGAAGTTAAAAATAGAGAGAGTAATAATATCTACTTATCAATTATCACATAACAATATCTATTTCTTTTCAATTGAGGGGACAATAAAATTTATTTTATTTATTTCTCAAATATATATATTTTGATATTAGTAAACATTAAAGAGTATTTTAATATACAGATGTAGACGTTTTAGGGCCTATCTTGTGCAGTTAATTGCGAGTTGGACAACGAGTCTACTTATAAAACAAATTGGGCTTTAACGTGGAAAGGCCCAAAAACAACATTTCACTACATGCTCCAATTTAATATTTTGCAAATGGTTTAGTACACAACTATTCAATTATTCGGAACCTCTAGGTAGAATAATACTCTTTTATTATTGAAGTTACTTAACGTGTTTTACTACATTAAATTAAAGAGTAAAGTACATAGATGGTCACTCGACTATATGACACTATTTTATTGAGTCCCTCAACTATTAAAAGTTACAAAATATTCACTCGATTATTCATTATGTTCCAAACTAGTCATTTTCTATTATAAAAATAACGAAAATCTAAGATGTATGTTAATATGTTGTTTGAGATATGATAATCAATTGAGATTCTAAGATTAGATTTTATCATATCTCAGACAGCAAATTAACATCCATATCAGATTGTCATATTTTTTTTAATAGAAAATGATGAATTTATAACATAATGAATAGTGAGGTGAACATTTTTGTAACTTTTAATAGTCGAGGGACTCAAAAAAGAAACATCCTATAGTCGAGTAACCATTTTGTAACTTTTAATAGTCAATGACTCAACAAAGTAACACCCTATAGTCGGGAACCATTTGTATACTTTACCCTAAACTAAATTATTATTTTAATCAATAAATTCATTGGAATATAAAATAAACAATAAAAGTATCAAACTATTATAAAATAATTATTATATAAACCAAGCTACCTCGGTGATTAAAGGAATGATTATTATTCTTAAAGATTTCAGATTCAAATACGACATTTATAAAATATTTAAGCTTTTATTGTCAGGTGAATGAATGCATTTCGAACATATACTAGCTTGAAACAAATAAATATTTAAGGGTAAATTATATGTTTAGTACCTAAACTATCAGTTTTGATTTGTTTTAGTACCTAAAATTTTAATTTTTTCAAAATCATACATGAAGTTTAGTTTTTATTTCATTTTAGTACATCTGTTCAAAATTTAAGATTAAGTTTTGAAAAAAAATGAAAGTTTAGGTACTAAAGCGAACAAAAACTTATAGTCTAAGTACTAAATGCGTTAAGTTTTAAACAACAAGTACTAAAATGAAACAAAAAATAAACGTTAAGTATGGTTTTGAAAAATTGAAAGTTTAGGTACTAAAACTGATTGTTTGGGTACTAAATACGTAGTTTACCCAATATTTAATCACATTTTATCTTGAAACAGAGTGAAAACCGTCGTTTTTAGTCGAGCCGATTATAGCTGATGAAAGTCGGTTTATGAAGTGAGAAGCTGCCGAATAGGGAGACGGTAAAAGTAAAACAGAACAATGAGCAATGGTGGAATTATATTCCGGTCTCTATTACGAAGCTCTCGAAGGCCTCCTCTGGGCTTCGTTGCTTCATCTTCCTCTACTGCCAGACTTTCTCCTTTACCTCTCCCCACTTCCCTTAATTCTTCTTCTTCTCGTTTTGCTGTTGCATCTTCTCTCGAACTGAACCCCATTCTCTATTTCGCTTCTTCCTTCACTCGCCGACTTTTACACGACACGACCTCCGTCCATAATAAAAACGATAACCGGGAAGAAGAAGAAGAGGACCCGGATTGCTGTATGATTCCTTAGTGTTGTTTCTTCTGTGCATTCCAAGTGTTCGATAAAAGTCCCGTGTCAGTAACTGTGTTTGTTTTTTTTTTGAACTTATTGGTGTTTGCAGATGAAAGAGATAGAGATGATGGAGAAACCACAGATGGGTGGGAAGAAGAGGATGATGACGTAGAGCCCAAGGTATACATCATTTCTAGTTTCTTAGGTTCACGAGCACTGGAAGGACCATCAAATGCTTTGTTTTACTTAAACAGTCAGGTTCGCCTTGTAGTTGCAGAAATCACATTACTGTGAGAATCACGGGACCATTGCAATGCTTTGTTTTTGATTAGCTACGCGAATTCTTCTAGTAGTTTCTTAGTTTTTTTGTTTGAAGCTATACAGTGTACCTTGCATTCGGTAACGAGTTGTTGCTCTTATTAATGTAGCTTGGTGATGGAGGGGATGGTGGTGGAGTTGTATTGCAAGGTGTTCCTTGGGGTGAATCTGTTTTGTCTATTGCCCATGATGTACTAAAGCTGTTTAGCGATGACTTCAAACTTTATGCTTTCAAAACTTCACCTCGTGGATTCATTTATGTCAGACTTGACAAATTGTCACATGAGTGAGTATTCTTCCTTAGCACCTTTACTGAATGATTTGAAGTGTATATATATATATATGTGTGTGTGTGTTTTACTTGGAACAGTACTATGAGAACCGGTGTCCCTTTTTATTCACTTGTTGGATTTCAGTAATTATGATTTACTTTTTCTGTGCTTGACCCAAGTCAATGATATCTGATGAAGAAAGAAGGAAAATTGAGAAATTACTTAGAAAAAGATTGAATCATACCCTATTTTTCCTCTAGAAAAATAAAAACTTTCAGTGGAATTATACAGTCGTCTTGTGATGGATAATCTTTCGATGTGTATGTGTGAGCATAATGTATGTAACTTGGCACATGGAAGTTGAATCACTAGGGTTTACTATATTAAAAGACAAATCTTCCTTTCATCAGATACGGTTGTCCCAGCTTGGAGGAACTGCAGACCTATAGTCAAGAATATAAGAAAAGATTAGATGAAGCTGGAGAGCGAAGAGAAATACCAGATGATTTGGGTCTTGAGGTAATAAGTGGCTATTTGTGCATGAATTTGCCTTGATTAAGTAGGATTATATTTATCATCTAAAAAGGACGTTTGGTCTTGAAGGTATCATCTCCTGGTGCAGAGAGACTACTTAAGGTACCGGATGATTTAGACCGGTTCAAACACATGACAATGAGAGTTTGTTATATCGAAGACACGGAGTCTAATCATACAGAAAAGAGCGGGGTCTTCTTACTAGATTCGATCGAGCAAGAGGTCTGTGTATGGAAGTTGGCAGATGTGAAGGAGAACCGGGACCCCGACAGCAAGGGTAGACCGTTAAGTCGTAAACAGAGGGATTGGAGATTAAGATTGCATTTCGACAAGCATAAGATGACAATGATGTACCTCAAACAGTGAACAAAGAAGGAACTGAAACTCAAAAGGTATGAACACTTTCTTTGTAGTAGTTCTCTTTGTAACAGAGTAGTTTGGTTACATTGAAGATAAACATTAAACCAAACTTTATAAGTATTGTTGGCATGAACTAATGTTGTTCCGGTTTTCTTTGGGTTCAACGTTTGTTTAGAGATATGGATCCTATAAGAACCTTTCGGCAATCGAAAAACTTGGGGGGAAACCGAACACATTCGTGTCTGACTTATTTTTTTATTGTGTTCGTGTTCGAGTAACACCGTGTTGATATGAATAATGAAAAGGATTACATATCTAATTAAAATAGCTTGTAAAAGGTAGTAGGGAAAGGAATTTGTCCAACTTAGAACCCTGCACGCTATGAACTCTTTGCATTAATTTTTTTTTTTTGCATTTTTCAGCGGTATTTTTTCTTGGACTTCTATTTTGTTGGTTTCTAATTCATTTAATATATATATATTGGATTATTATTTGGTAATCTACGACGTATATGAAGTCTCAAAGTCAAAGTTAATTTGCACAAGAAAATCTCCAAAACTAAGGATGAATTGAACTTAGACAACTTCAATATTTATTTTTTATTTTTTATTATTATTATTTTGAAATATCATACGGATTAAAATACTCTTTTTGGTCTGTATATTTACGTTGGAAAAAATAAGAAAAATTTTTAAAGAAAAAAAGGAAAATAGATGTTGATATGGTTGAAAAGGATATTGCACCAAATTAGCTTTGGTAAGTTCACTTCATTGAACTCCATAATTAAACGAAGGGCGAGGGGATATAATATATTAAATTTTATTAAATGTTTTTACTTTAGCGAGCATCAATTATTTTGCATGTATAATAAGTCTGGTTTATTCCATGATTTTCTTTAAATTGATACAATAATTTAGCATTAAATGAACTTAGCAATTATCAATTTTAATCCAGAGAGCAATGTTGGGGTGGTGGGAAGCACCAGAATCTTCACCTGAACGGTGACTACATTTGGGATTTAATCTTTATAGAAAATTCCAGTGAAATAATTTATATTCTTTCATACACAGACAACATAACATATTTTATAATATTAAATTCATATATATATATATATATATATGAAAGGGTAAAGAACCTAGTTTTGAGGGGACAACCAAAAAATCCAAAAACTAAAAAAAAAGAGGCAAGAAAATGCAAAGAAAAAAACAAAAGAAAAGGAAAAGCAGAACAATGGTTGCAGATTTTTAATTTTCTAGATGGGAAAAAAGGAGAAAGATTTAGTAAAACAAATAATAAAAAATATTCTTTTATTCTTACAAGACAAAAAGTCCCATGGGTACATTTTTCAGCATGACTTGTTTTTTTCCCCAAAAACGTGATAAAAATTTAATCATTTAATCAAAAAATTAATTAATTTAATATCAGTTTGTTAACATTAACTAAAACCCAGGCGTCAATTTATGTAATAATAGCAGAGTATTTAGGAAATAAAGATTTTCTATGCTTCATCTCTCTCACACACAGAGAAAGCAAGGATAAACAAAGAGATAGAGATAAAGAAAATAAATTTAAATTCTGGGTTTGTTTATTTTTGAAGAAATTGTTTTTTAATTCATAGAGACAGAGAGAGAGAAACAAATTTTCTTAGTATTGTGTGTGTGTGCTTTCCTTGAATATCATTGGTCGCACGTGGAAACCCAGAAGGTAAATTCTCCTCAGCTTCTTCTCTGTAACAGCTTTTTATTTATTTATATGTTTTTTGAGTTATTATTATTATATCATAATTATTGTTTTATTTGTTGTTGAGTGCCCATCTACATTCTTCATTCTTGCTTCTCTGCAACTACCCTTCCTTTCTTCCCTTTCTCGCTTGTTCTTCTCTGTAAGCATTTCCCTTTCTTAAATTTTCTGCTTTTTTTTAATCAATTTTTCCCTTTTTGTGTCTGAGTACAAATGATTTTACTAGGAAATTCATCTGCATGGGAGTTGGGACACATCAAATTATCTAAAGTTTTTGGTTTTTGCTTGATCTCTGATTGTGATGATCATCTCTTCAATTTCAAGTTCTTAAACTCCATGCATAAAGTGATTTGCTTTTGGCTGTGTATCACTTTGTTGTTTTTGGGTTATGTTTAATGAATCTTAAACTGTGTTATTGGGTTTTCTTTTTTAGTTTTGAATCATATATTCTGTTGACTGTTTAGCATGATCTGATGTTGTGATGCTTCATTAATTTTAACTACTAATGTCTTTGAGCTACAGGGATTAATGGCTACATTTTCTCTTCATTGTTCATCTTGACTTTTTTTGGTGAAATAAAATTGTTTTTTAATGGAGATTTGTGTGTTCTTGGCTCTATTATGTGCTTAATTGTGACTTTTGGTACCCTTTTTTTTTCATGTTAGAGTTGGTAAATTGTCAAAAACATGGCAATTTCTGGTGTTAAAAATGACAGAGGAGAAATGAGGATTCTTGAGAATTTGGATGAGCTAAGGACCGATTTGGCTGACTATATAGCTGAGCTATCAGAGGCTGCAGTGAAAGAGAGGGGTGTCTTTGCTATTGCCTTGTCTGGGGGTTCTCTTATCGGCTTAATGAGGTATCGATCCATTACTTTTCGATGTTTTGTTTTCGTGGTTTTGGGTGTCTTTAAATTTTCCTTTTTGTTTGGTGTGTTTTGATGCAGTAAACTCTGTGAAGCTCCTTATAACAAGACTGTAGACTGGGGTAAATGGTATATATTTTGGGCGGATGAACGTGTTGTTGCGAAAAGCCACTCGGATAGCAATTATAAGCTTGCAAAGGATGGTTTTCTTTCCAAGGTTTGTATATTGATTCGTAGTTCTTTCTTTTCGAGAACCAAATGAAGGAACTTTTGATTAGAATATGATGCTTCTTGTTGTGATGTTGGTAAATTTGGTGTTTGTCTGTTCCTGGATTGCTCTGGTTAGCTAATACACAAGTATGGATTAGTTCCTTCATTATTCAGTGACTTGATTGGTTTGCACTTCGGATCTTGAATCATTAACCTGTGCTAGAAGTTGTTTAAGCTCGAATTCTTCATTTATGCTTGTGTTAACTGGTATATTAGTTGATATTTCACTAGCTGATAATTCAGTAGTGGGTTCAACGTTCTTCGTTTTCAGTGATTTTGATGTTTGCTCGTTGAATTCTTCTTCACTGTGTTGTGGTTACAAGTATGATCTATGTTCTTTTGAATCGGTTATGGTAAAAGTTCGACTACCACTTTTAAGTGATGAAAATCATAATTCAATTGAATCGCTGCTTAAAACCTTTGTGACGAAGATGAGACCGTTTTCTGCCATTGCTTAGAGGGGCTTCCTTCCACGTTTTCCGTCGTGGTAGTATCACCATTTTACAGCTCTTTGATTCGGCAATGCTTTCATCAATGGATAGGCTGATTGAAGAATTATGCTTCCGTTTGTTTTGTTAAGTTTATGCCACATTACGTATGTGCTCGTGTGCTTATGCCTTACATTTGCCGCAGGTGCCGATTGTTCCCAGCCACGTTCATTCTATCAACGATTCAGTTTCAGCAGAGGAAGCTACTGACGAATACACATTCGTTATTCGGCAGCTCGTTAAAACGAGGATGGTCAGTGTTTCCGACATTAGCGACTGCCCCAAGTTTGACCTTATCCTTCTTGGCATGGGCCCTGATGGTCACGTTGCCTCTCTATTTCCTAATCATGCAGTGCTCGATGAGAAGGACGAATGGGTAACGTTCATCACCGATTCTCCCAAACCACCACCCGAGAGGATGACATTCACTTTGCCTGTCATCAATTCAGCATCCAATGTTGCAATCGTCGTGACAAGTGAGAGCAAAGCAGAGGCTGTGCACTTGGCAATCGATAACATCGGACCCGACAACCCGTCGGTGCCTGCACGGTTAGTCCAACCAACGAAAGGGAAGTTGGTATGGTTTTTGGACAAATCAGCTGCATCGAAACTGGACAGTCTCCGATTTTCCGAGTAGGGCCAAGTTTGTTTCGTGCCGAAAGTGTATGTTTGCACGTAGTCGAGGGTTTTCAAACCCGTCATCCCGTCGTCCTCGACTACTTCCTACTTTTTTCCCCTTCTGTTCCGTTATATGTTCATCTTGTTTTCTTTTTCATCTCTTTTCTTATTGAGATGATGAAGTTGAATCCCTGTTTTTGTAAGGAGATGAAAATAAAAAGTTCGGATTAGTGCAAAAGCATTTTCATATGCTGCATAACCGAGGTTTAATTATGCTACAAATCCCCGTACTTTGCTGACTTTTGAAATCTAAACCCCCTGCTTTTATTTACAGGGATTAAATTTTGAAAAGTTCAAAGAGCTCATAATCAATCATATAATTATTCAAAATTTGGGGCAACAATTTCCATTCAGTAGCCAATACGGGGGGTTGGGGAACATCATACTGGTTTACTTCTTATACATGTATAAGAACCCAACCACCATGGAGATGCCGACAATTGTGACCGGGATAGTCCAATACTGCTTTGTCAAGTCCATGAGCTTCTGAGAGTACTCGGTGGTTTCCTTCTTGGAGGAAATTTTGAGCTCTGGAATGATTGGGGAGGAGGACGTATCGAGTTCGCCAATGCAAAAGCTCTGCATGAGTTCCTTTGCGCTTTCGCTGTGCCCGGCATCTTCAAAATCAGCCGTTGCGTCTTTCCCTTCAAGGAAATCATTCGAAGCATGTCATGTAGGGGACTCGTTATTTTATAATCTAAACACTCTCAGCTCCCTAAGTAGGATAAGAAAAAGCCCGGTTGCACGACGGGTATTACCTGTTGCTACGAGCACTACATCATCACCTCCTGGATGCTCGTCCAAATAAGAAGTAACATCATATACCTGTAAAGGAGAAAGACAATTTGTTTTGTATCGTGAGACAAATTAAGGGAATCGAGTTCGTTTCACTCGCACAAGGCATTTCGAACAACATTTCCAGGTGATCTAAAGGAAAAATAGACTGCAATTTAACTTGACTACAACATCCGAACTCTTGGAATCACTGCAAATTCATAGTAATGAGTGCATATAGCACCTGATGTCTAGTTGCATCCTGCATTTCCTAGCTGTTAAAACTAGTGAATTAGCCCCTTGAAGCTAGTTGAACATTGTTCAACCAAGACTCCAAGTTCATTCAGGTGGAGCTAGCTTCTTAAGGCACTATGAGCATAAAAAATACCATGCGATTCGGCTCGATCGAACCGGGAGGCAAAAGAGGGAAACAAAGACTTCACCTTTCTTCCACATCAATAGGAACCCATGGATGACACAAGACAAGGTTTCATTCTCTATCAAACTTGACATCCCGATGTTCAAATGGTTTATCACAGATTGAGCATATTGAATAAATAATGTTCATCCACGACATGATAAATGCAAGCTATTCAGTTTTCTGGGAAAATACAAATACCAAATCAATCAACAAGATCAACTTTGGTCATGCAAGTTTTATCTAAAAAAGGCCTAAACTTTTCACACAGTGATACCCCAACTTGTAATTAGCATTCAAGATCAGTCATGAAATTACGAACAGAACAGATCTAATCGTAAAAATTTTGAGACCCAAAGAAAATTCATCAGAGAAACTTTAGAACCTTGCAGTCAATAACGACCCAGCAATCGTCTTTGGTATTGTGCTGGGAGGCTTCTTGCATGGTAACCCTTCTTAAACGGTCGCCTGCGAGGTGGCTCGTCGTGTAATAAACCCAATGGGCCTTCGCAGCCGTCCAATTTCTTTAAATCGGACAAACTGAGTATTTTTTTTGTTGCTCTCCTGGTTCCGACGCTTGGGCATGACTAATTTAAATCTACCCGTATTGCATATCTAGTTTTGGTGGGTGATTCTTCAAGCGGATATTTTCTGCATACACAAGGACTCGAACTCGAGACCTACTTAAACGATTTCAAGTTGCTTTATCATTTGAACAAACCCTCGTTGGTCGAGTATTAACTTTAGGATAAAGTACGCATTTAGTATCTTAACTATCAATCTTGGTTTGTTTTAGTAATTAAATTTTTATTTTTTTCAATTATACTTAACGTTTAGTTTTCATTTCATTTTAATACCCCATCATTAAAAACTTAACATGTTTAATACCTAAACTATCAGTGTTGATATGTTTTAGTACATAAACTTTCAATATTTTCAAAACTTAACATTAAATTTTGAATGGGTGTACTAAAAAAACTAAAATTTTTAACGGAAGAGAACTAAAATGAAACAAAAATTAAACTTTAGGTACAATTTTAAAAAATTGAAAGTTTATTTACTAAAACTGATCAAAACTGATAGTTTAGATATAAATATGTAATTTACCCTTAACTTTATTAGTATCCTTATGTCATTATTATTATATTTTGATTTACGAACGAAATTTATATAATCTATACATGGTTTATTAGTAGAGATTGTAATGAATTAGGTTAGGTCAAGTTTTTATCGATTTAACCTAATTCGATTAGAGAAATATATCCTCCGTTCAAGTTCCATTTGATTTGAGAAGTATATATTCTTCATCTGCGTTATTTGATTAGTACATTCTTTATATTCGAATTTGATATAATTTAAATTTTTAAGATAAAAATTCATATCCGATTATAAATCCTAAACCCTAAGGGTGCGTTTGGTTCACGGAATGTAAGATTACCAGTGGAAATAAAAGATTACCAGAGAATATGATTACTGGGAATGTTGTATTTTGTGTTTGGTTGGTTTAACAGGAATGTAAGATTACCGTGTTTGGTTAAAGGAATAAAAGATTATTGTAATGTATATTTGACCAAATTGTCCTTATTATATATTTGTATAATATTACAAATTGTAAAATATTTATATATTTTCTTTAAAAAATTAAATTCATACTATTTATATAATTTTTTTTACAAAATTAAAAATATAAAAAAAGTTTAATGAAAGGGTAAATTTTTTTTAATCCCTGAACTTCATATAAAATTTTAATTATAGATTTTTTTATGTAAATCTAAAATAATTTAAAAATAAATTTGTAATTTAACCTTCGTAGAATTTTTATTATTCAATGATAGAAGAAGGATATTTTTGAAAAAAATAAAAATTTAAGGGCATTTTAATCCAAAACGCCGGTAATGTTACAATATCTAAGGGAAGGGACGTAATGACATTCCCGGTAATATACCCAAAAAAATCTACTATTGATAATAAAACATTACTGGGAATGAGATTCTCGACCAACCAAACATGAGAATGTGGAATTCCCATCCCATCGGAATCTCACAATATTTGAATCAAACAACCCCTAAATGCTAGTGACAAATGTTGGAAACTGGTTTGGCAGTCAATTACATTAGAATTGCTTCAGTTGGGCTAAGCTAAGCTAGAGTCCTAGAATAGCAGGAGCATCATTCTTTAGGATTTCAACTTTGATTCAAGGCTCGAGAATTTGAACGAAACAGTCAAGAAAGTTTCGAGGTTTGACAAAAGGATTGGCAGTGCTGTACGACAGACATTCTTAATGGCAAAAAAAGAAAAAATATACAGGTTTCGAGCTCAAAACCATATCATAGAAAGCTTGACTTTTCGATCAAACCCTTAAAGTTTTTACATATTTTATTCTAGTCCTATTTATTTTACTTATTATCTTTCCAATTATCATAATACATTCTTTTCATCATATATGAAATACAAGGATCACATGCTACCAATCTCGAGAACCTAAATTCAATAGGTCTAGGCATTGTTAGATATAAACGCTCAATTACTCAAACTTGATGTTCGAACTAAAAATCTCTAAAAATAATAATAGTTTCTCAATATATATATTTTAAGGTTCATATTGAAAGTTAAATATTAATTTATCATAGTTCAAAATGTCAAAAGTACAACAGTTAAAAATAATGTGCAGAAGTTGTAGTTCCCTGTCAAAGATTTTGGCACCCATTTCTATGAGCTCTTCTTTTGCCAGTTCATTATATTCCTTTAGCACATTTCAACAATGACCCCAAGGACATTAGTCACTTCAGATTTGCAAAAATTTTGTTTGAAAAAGCCAGTCTTTCATTCACAGTCATAGTTTACGAAATTATGAATATAAATTATCTTATGATTATCTTAAAATTTTAAAATAACTAGTCTAACTTGAACATTCAATCCTACAAGGCAACAATCACAAATTTGGTATGTAATCCAATAGAATAATGTATACTAAGTGATTGATATTTGGCATAAGATAGTGTCAAATAGCAACTGAGTGGTCCTCGGTCGTTGCTGTGAACTAGAGGTTACTTCTTTGACAATGTGACTCTGGCAGAAGATTTTGCAATTAAGACTGCAGTGATTCTCTGGTTAAGATTACAGTCTAGTTCTTGTAAGTCTTTACTGTTATATTTATTATATATGGTAATGATAATAGTAGGGAGGGGCTTATTAGGTATGTCCACGGATGGTTGGCCTATTATAGCACTTGCCTTTTTGTCTCTTTCTTGGACCCAATTTTTGTTGTTATTGTCAATGCACATACCATTTGCAGCACTCCCTCTTTCTGTAGCATTCTTTAAAAGCCTGAAATGAGCCATACCATTTGCAGCATTCTATCTCTCTGAGGTTCATTTCCTTTTATTGGGAGCATCAATGGCAGTCTTGGTGGTGGTAATAGTGGCTTGTTTGCTTGCTTTGGGGCTCTGCATTGGCTTTGCTATGTTGAAATGGAATGAGATAAGGTATAGTAGAAGAAAAGGGTTGCCTCCAGGGTCTATGGGTTGTCCTGTTTTGGGTCAGACCACTGAGTTTCTCAAATATGGACCGAGTTTCATGAAAAAGCAGAGAGCAAAGTAAGTTTTCTTTTTACTGAGTTGCATGGTTAATGGAGACAAAGTATGAAACATGTTACATTTGTGTGTGTGTGTGTTTTTTAATTTTTTTTTTTGGGGGGGGGGGGAACAGGTATGGAAGTGTATTCAAGACTCACATATTGGGGTGTCCAACCGTTATTTCCATGGATCCTGAGCTCAATAAATACATCCTTATGAATGAAGGCAAAGGGCTGGTTCCCGGTTACCCTCAATCCATGCTTGATATACTAGGGAAATGCAACATAGCAGCCGTGCATGGCGCTGCTCACAAGCGTATCCGAGGCTCGTTGCTGTCTCTCATAGGCCCTCTTGTGATCAAGGATGAACTCTTCCCAAAGATTGACAAGTTCACAAGATCTTTCCTTGAGAATTGGCATGGGAAAACCATTGATATCCAGAAAACAACCAATGAGGTTTGTGTCATTGTGATCTTAAACTTTTTAACACTGCAAATATGCTTATTTTGGGTAAATATGTCTCTTTCAGATGGCATTGTGGGTATCATTCAAGCAAATTTTTGTAAAGGAACCCACTTCATTCTATGAGATTTTCAAACCAGAGTTTGATAAGTTGTTAGTAGGAACACTTTCACTGCCTATAAACATTCCAAGGACAAACTACCATCATGGATTCCAGGTATAATTTTCAAGACTTTTCAACTTTTCCATATGATTCTCAAAGAATTTACCTGATGTTTCAGTTTTGATTCAATCAGGGGAGGAAAAGAATTGTGAAGATGTTGAAACAGATTATGGGACAAAGAAGAGCCTCTTCAACACCCTATGATGATATCCTTTGCCGCATTCTTCAAAGCAAAGATTCAAAGTACATTCTCAGTGATGAAGAGATAATTGATCAGATAATCACTATACTATACTCCGGTTACGAGACTGTCTCGACGACTTCGATGATGGCCGTCAAGTATCTCCATGATCATCCTAAAGCTCTCGAAGAACTTAGGGTGAGTTACGATTTTTTCAACTGCTCGAAATTTCGATATGGTTTCTTGATTATTTATGGTGTTTTTTTTACTATTATGGTATTACTTGCCTAGGAAGAACATTTTGCTATCCGAGAAAAGAAGAAACCAGGCGAGGCAATCGATTGGAATGATTACAAGTCTATGAGTTTCACTCGTGCTGTAAGCAGAATTTTGACTCTTTGCACACCTGCTTTTCATTGCATCATGCAACTGATTAAAGTCTATTCTCCATGCAGGTGATATTTGAGACCTCAAGGTTGGCTACAGTTGTTAATGGGGTATTGAGGAAGACATCAGAAGACACGGTGTTGAATGGTATGTTCAAGGGATCTCTGAGCTTAAAAACTTGCATTCTTTTTTACTATGCTAATTGGACTCAGAGGTGAGTGTCGGATACGAGAAGGGATGGACACGGGTCGGGACGAGTTGATTTTTGGCCATTCTAACCCGAAAATCGAAGCATTTCACTTGATTTGGTTCGTCTCGACATTTGAAGATGTCCCATCCGCCTTGAACTCGGCCTAAATTTTGGAGTAAAAACTCACTACACATAATTTTTCATGTGGTGTTGCTTGACAGGGTTTACCATTCCCAAAGGATGGAGAATATATGTTTATACAAGGGAAATAAACTATGACCCATTCCTTTATCCAGAGCCTTTTACCTTCAATCCATGGAGATGGCTAGTGAGTTGCTATAAACTTGAATCTTTCCATAGCTCATTTTGATTAAATTACAGTTCTGGTCTCTCTACTCAGCTCGAATTCAAGATTTAGTCCTTATACTTTAATTCGGTATAATTCGATGCTCTACTTTTGACTCTTATATAACTCAACTGAACTTGCAGGATAAGAGCTTGGAGTCGCACAATTACTGCTTCATATTTGGTGGAGGCGGCAGGCTATGCCCTGGAAAGGAATTAGGCATTCTCCAAATTTCTATGTTCCTCCACTATTTTGTTACCAGTTACAGGTTAGTCCACAATTGCATTTTCAAATTCATATCGATCTTAGTTATATTGGTGTCTTTTATGTTTGAAATATGCAGGTGGGAGGAAGTTGGTAGAAATGAAATCCATCAATTCCCAAGAGTTGAAGCACCAAAGGGACTTCATGTCAGCATATCAAACTACCATGAATGATCCAAAACCAAAGCTTCCTCATTTAATGGATAGTGTTTTTCATGTAATAAGACGATAACGAATTTCGAATTCGAATCTTAATATCTATAATATTACAACAAATCTAGCATTTAAATGTCACCACTTTTATGTTTATATCAAAAGGTCCTTTTTGTATTAAATCAAAACAAAGGTCATAGTTCTTGCAAAAGTTACCTATGTAGCGAGGGATGGAGGCATTAAGAACATGAGAGAGGCTTTTACGACCAAATTTATTTGTAAACCTTAAACCCTAAATTTTAAATCTCGAATTTTGGACAAGATCACCGAGATTCCTATATATATAGACTTAGTTTCACGGGAAAGCATAGAGTTAAGTAAGATATTTTTCACTCGTTTGCACTCTCGTCTTGTGTACCATACATGTTATGTTATTCTGATTAGAGTGCAAGTGTCGGGCACTGATATTTTATGAAAAATGAAGAGTTCGAATAATATAATGTATATAAAAAAAAAGGGTAAATTATGTATTTAGTACTTAAACTATCAATTTTAGTTTGTTTTATTATTTAAATTTTTAATTTTTTTAAAACCATACCTGATAGTCTAGGTATTAAAAAGAACCAAAACTGATAGTCTAGGTACTAAACACGCAGGGCCGGCTCTGACTTTTTCTTGGCCCGGGGCAAAATAAAAAAATGGGCCCTAATTTAAAATAATATTAAAAAATATGCAATATAAAATTTTAATTAATTTTTGTTATTAATACTTATAAAAAATATTGCCTTCGAGCATTTCTTGATGCAAAATCATTGATGATAGTGTCAACATCAATGCTTTCCAACATATTTTTCTCAATATATAACATAGCGAGTCCATTCAATCTTTCTTGTGACATTGTTGACTTTAAGTAATTCTTCAATAATTTCAGCTTTGAAAAACTTTTTTCCGCGGATGCTACCGTTACCGGCAGTGTTAATAAGATTCGATAAGCAATTGAAACATTAGGATAACAATCTCTAGCTTTAACAAACTCAAGAACTTCAAGTGCTGACATGAATACATTTGGCAAAGTCAATTGCAGCACTTTCATTTCAGAAAAAAAATCATCTGCATCAACATCCGACAAATTATTATGAGAAAAAATAATCTTAAAATTATTGCAACATTCTTTTAATTTATTGTCATCCAATGACTTCAACCTTGTAGAATCAATTAAAAATCCAAAATAATTTTCAAAAATCTTTAACTGTTCAAATCTATCTTTTAAGGAAGCGAGCGCCATATCAACAACATCAAAAAAATAATTAACTTTAAAAGACTCCTCTGCTGATTGCATTTATTCTTCATGGTCATTCTCATCAAATTGTCTTTTTCTAAAAATACGACACTTAGTCGGAAAAATTGGCTCTATGTTCATATTTAATGCAAGACTTTTAGCAATATCTATACTAGCTTCGAACCCCTTATTTCTATAGTTTTCAAAATATGACATTACACCTTCCAACTCTTTTATGGTAGTATCAATGCACATTGATTTAGATTGTAATTTCTTACTTACCGTGTTGATAGCAAATAAAATATCATACCAGATAACCATTCCAAGTAAGAATTCAAAACTTTGAAGGGCACTAGCTAAACTTTCTGCTTCACTTTTTGCTTTTGCATCATTACCACAATATTCATATAATTGTAACAAAGCTAACCTTATTTTAGGAGTATGACATTGAATAGCTTTGACACTTTTAATTCGACTTTTCCATCGAGTATCAGATAAAGATTTCACAGTTTCCGGAACATTATCACATAAAATTTTCCACCTTTTGATAGAACTTGCAAACAATGAATATATACGTTGCATAATCCCAAAAAAAGAAATAGCTTTAACACAAAACTGTGCCATATCAGAAAGAGAAAGATTAAGATTATGACAAGCGCATGGCATATATAAAGCTCTAGGATTTATTTCAAGTAATCTCTTTTGAACACCTTGGTGTTTTCCTTTCATATTAGAACCATTGTCATATCCTTGGCCCCTCACATCATCAACGTTCAACTATAGAGATTGCAATGTATTTACTAATTCATTGAAAAGCCCCAATCCAGATGTATCATCCACTTTCAAGAACTCTAAAAAGTACTCTTCTATTTTTACTTTGTTGTTTGACATATTTACGCATCGCACTATTAGAGTCATTTGTTCTTGATGACTTACATCAGGGGAACAGTCAAGAATAACAGAGAAATACTTTGCCTTCTGGATGATCTTTAGAATAGAAGTTCTAATACTATGAGCCAAGAGAGAGATTAGTTCATTTTGAATGATATGACCAAGATAATGATAATGAATATTTTCACTTTGAATACGCCTAATATGGTCTTGCATAGGCAAATCAAATTCAGCAATCATTTCAATTAATCCTAAAAAAATTTCCATTATTCTCATCGTAAATTTTCTCACTAGATCCTCGAAAAGCTAAATTATTTTTAGCAAGACATTTTACAACACAAACTATTTTTATTAAAACTTGCCTCCAACGTTCTTTCTCTTTTGAAATTCCTTGTTGTAAATCTTTATCAAGTGTTTGATTAGTTTTTAATCTCACTCTTAATTCACTCCAAAAAATCATGTTAGTCATATGCTCAATACTATTTTCATGTTGTTCGAGTCTCTCACTAAGATGCTTCCAATCATTTAATCCATCATTTGCTAAATAACTCTTATTGTTTTGTTTTGTAAACAATTTACAACAAAAACAATAAACTTTGTCCACATGTTTAGAATAGACCAACCATTTTCTATCGCTAATCTCTCCATTACTCAACTTTTTAGAAAAATAAGCATATGAAAAATGCCTAGAATTATTGGCTAAGGGAAATTTCAAATTCAATTCACTTATAGGCCCCTTTTCAACTAAAATATCTATAGATTTGTTATTAAGATTACCCCAATTTCTAGGATCATAAATGTCTACAGTACGGACTAAGTGTTGATCAATCCCAACATCTTCAACATTAGACTCATTTTGTGCATGATTATGGACATTTAAATTAGACTCATTTGAAGAACTATCAAGATTATTTAAATTCTCAGCAATATCATTTAAATTTCATTAGAAGACTCTCCTACTCTATTTTTAAAGAATTTATCAAGAGCTCCCTTTTGTGATTCTATTAAATCATCTATTTGTTTTCTTTTTTTCTTTTTTCACTATCAGACAAATGTTTTTTAGGAAACATTATATAACAATGCAATTAATATAGAAAAGAACAATAATACATGTAAATGGGAAGATCCTCGATTGAAGTATTTATACGCCAAATTCGCAACACCGTAATGATTGAACTTAGAAGGAAGATGAAGTATCTGCATATCCACATTTGACATTTCATATCCAAAATTTATGAAACAAAAAAAGAGAGAATAAGTTTATCTATAATTTAGAAATATATAAAAATAAAAATAAAAATAAAAAGAATTTGGAAACACGAACTTACTTAGGATTTTAAAAATATCTTCAATGACCACAATTGATGATAAGTAATTGTGTTTGTGAATTGTGAGAAATATGAGAAATTGAAAATTGAGAACAATAAGAAATAAATTGATTTTACTTCAATGTTCTCCTATCATTTATAGGAAATAAAAAAAAGTAACCGTTAGCCCTCTTGGCTCTTGCATTAACGTTGAACATCCAAAAAAATTTAAATTCAACTTGCATTAATTTACACTAATATTTATGAGTCATCTGGCATTAATGTAGAAATAATATATTAATATTTATGTAACCGTTATGGGCTTTTGGCTCTTGCATTAACGTTTATAAGATGAGAACATCCAAAAAAAATTAAATTCAACTTGCATTAATTTATACTAATATTTATGAGTCATCTTGCATTAGAAATAATATATTAATATTTATGGTAATCGGGCCCTCGTGATTATGATGAGAAATGTTTAAAATTGAACATTAATATTTATGGGGCCTTTGCATTAATATAAAAAAATAATATATTAATATATATGGGCCCTGTTTTTAGTTTAATTTATTAAAATATAATAAATTAATATAAATAAAAATTATGGGCCCTGGGCGGGTGCACCTCTTGCCCCTGCCCAGAGCCGACCCTGTAAACACGTTAAGTTTTTAACAATGGGGATACTAAAATAAAATGAAAACTAAACGTTAAATATGATTTTAAAAAAATTAAAAATTTAGGTATTAAAACATACCAAAATTAATAGTTTACGTACTAAATACGTAGTTTACCTTAGAGAAAATTGAAGGGGAAATATCAGGGGAAAAGCAAACATGTGGCACGTGAAGCGAAAACGTTTTAAAATATTGGAGGGTTAGCATGGCACAATTGTGCCTGTACGTGTTATAACTGTCAAGGGAGACTATAGAACGTGGAAATTGCATAGATGCATGCATGACCTTCTTATACGGCTAATCAAAATCTAGAGGATCAATTTACTAATTTCCCCTCGTTTTGTCCTTCATATATAGAGACCAAAAAATCATCTCTTTTAGTCCTTAGGAGTGTTCAAACGGTTAATTTAGCCACCAACTAAACCGAATTATCATTAATTAAATTAATCGAACTTTTTATTTCTTTAACCATGAACTGAACCGAACAAAGCTCGATTATTTCGGTCGGTTAACCAAATTATCCGATTTTTTTATAATTTTTTATAATTAGATTAATTTAAATATAATAGATGTATATTTTTTATTTGAGTTAAAATTTAATTAGATATTGATAATTTAATGAGTCTATTGCGATAAAAATATAATCAGATATTAATTTTTAATGAGTTTGAACTTAACATATGTTTATAATATTTAATAATTTCAGTTAATTAACCGATTTCGAATCGAATTAACATGTTAACCAAATATTGAAAAAAATATTAATCGTTCCGCAACCGAACTAATTGGTGTAGACTAAATTAACCGAACTAATTTGATTCGGTCGGTTAATTCAGTTAAAACAGACCAGGGAGCCTATTAGTCATT